TGGGATCATATTGTCCTTTCCTCTACTAGATTTAGTCTAGTGTACCCACAAGCCTATTCTAACCACTAGGGTCCTCAAATTATTAAATCCTTATAGCGCTCCTTATGGTAGCCCTTGTAGACCCCTTGAAAGGAACCCTCTTCTAATCATTAAGGCCTTCATTACTACCGGTTCCTCCAGGTCTTCCACCCGTTTTGCTTTGGAGTCTCCTTGTTACAAGGTTTGAGGGTTTAGGGGTTTAGGGGTTAGGGTTCGCGATCGATACCGGACATGGTTTTTGCTTGAGAAGGGTCATGCTGATACTTCTGCCAGCAGCACCACCAAGGGCAACACGAGCAACCCCATGCATCAATCAGGGTCAACAGAATTACCAGTACACTAGTAAGGAATTAGAAGACATAAATATGCATCATCACAAAGAAGACATGTAAGCATGGACGGCATCCGTTCTTGTTGTCTTTATAGCAGTCTTCGTCCTTCTGCCAGGAAAGACCCCACATTGGGACAAACCACCGTTTAGGGTTTAGGGCGCGGGAGCACTCCAGCACGTAGCACGGAGACTCGAATATCGATAATATGGCTCTCCAGGTCTTCAGGGACTCTGAGTCTTTGAACCCTAAGGGCCCTAGGTATGTCTTGGTAGGTTCCGGAATCTCCTAAATAGAGCTCTTGAATTTCGGTGTCTCCTACTTTTCACGCACCGGGAAGTATCAGAACCCTCAGAGAAATACAAGCATGGCCACAAATTTGTGGGTTTTGCACCTTGAGCCCTAAAACGTCAGACCCGAAGGATCAGAAGATAACACGAATCGGTTCTAGAATCACAAGAATCATGGTGATATCCGCCATATTGGTCCCAGTAGCAAAGTAGGCAACATATAAATACATATATATATATATATACATAGATATTCAGATTCATATTTATTATGCACAGATATATTCCCGGGATACTGGACAAGCAGGTGGTTGTGCCGCTGAGAGTGCAGCACCCAGAACAACCGTACATCTCTCAGGCCAAACCCGAGACCTACTTGGAGGTTCATTTAGGGTTTAGGGTGTAGGGGTTTAGGGTATACTTGGAAGGTCATGCGTAGTTATAAGTGGGGTTGTAAGTCCCTTAATCTGGGTAAGTATAGTTACCCTACTTATAACTAACCACGAACCGCAAAGTAGGCACTGACAACTGGGCCCTGAATTCTCAATCCCACCAAAGTCCCACACTGAAAGAGCCCTGTGCCCCTAAATCCCCTGAGACCTCGCATCTTTAACCATAAGGCTCTATAGGGTTTAGGGTTTAGGGTTTAGAGCCTAAACCCTTCACATCCTGAACCTGAAATCATGAACAGCCCAAAGCCGAGCCAGGCGCGCATGCAGATCCATCTCCAGGCATCTGGATTTCTGGTGGGGGGGGGGGGGGGGGGGGGGCTCTTGCCCGTACGTAACGCTTGGGATGGGGCGGTATAGCCAGCATCGCATGCGGAAGCCGCCTAGAATGATATTGACGGCGTTTGGCGTTTGAGGCGATTTGGTGATTGCAGGTGTCGTTTCAGAGAGCCTCTAAACCCTAAACCCTCCAAAACCAAAACCCAAAGTCCTAAACCCTAAACGCTTTACGCCCCCGAGACTTGAGGCCTTAAGCCCTACTTGGAGGTTCATGGGTAGTTATAAGTTTGGTTATAAGTCCCTTGATATGGGTTATAGCTATCGTCATCCTGCTTGTAGCCCTACTTATAACCAACCATGAACCTCCAAGTAAACCCAAAGGCCAAAAGAGACGAAGAGCAGGCTCCCATCCGCCACCGCTCATCCTCGCCGTCCAAGGACACCGGGTCTTCAGGCTATATATATATATATATATGTATAGATATGTATAGATAGATAGAAATACATATATAAGTAGATATCTATATATATATCTCTCTCTCTCTCTCTCTCTCTCTCTCTCTCTCTCTCTCTCTCTCTGTAGCGCTTAGGGTTTAGAGTTGAAGTCGAGGGCTGAATCCTAACCCACGACGTGACCCGATGCTGCTGTGCTATGTAGCTCCGAGGCACTAAAGGCAACTCCAGAAAGTTGGAATATGGTTTCTTGGTAGGATACCCTATAATTTACCATAGAAGGGTTAGGATAATCATATTCCAACTTTCTGGCTTCTACTGTACCCAAAATGCGCAGATCGCAGGGAACGAAGCGAAGCAAAGCCAATAATCACAAATGTATGAGTATCCTTAAATGAACCTCAAACCCCACCAGAAAGAAACCTTCACCCATACAGCATGTACGTGCATCTGACCGCTCTGACTTCCCACCCAAACCCGAGAAAGACTTTGTGAAGCTTCATGTATTACGAGCCCAGAGTCAGGGAATATAGGGCTGGGAAGACTTGGCGGTAAGATCGTTTTGTAAATCAGGCCCTACTGCAATTTCGCCCTCTTCCAAAAAGAGGTCCCCATACATCTGACACTTTCTACTGCAGTATACCTCCTGTAATGCAGCAGCCCACAGCTATTTTGATTGTTTGGACCCCGGTATGACCCCCTTTGAGCTGCAGCTCTCCCAATGCAATAACTCCAAACGTCAAATCCGAAAAGCCCCACGGCCTGGCAACCCCCAATTTTTAAAACCTCTGGGTTCAGGGGTTTAGGATTCGAATGTAGGGTTTGGGGGTGCCGCAACCACGATCAGACAGAACAAGACGCGTAGGAGCAGGAAAACAGCATAGGACGAACACCAAAGAAAACAACAAGCTTGCAACCCTAAATCCTCAACCCCCAACCCATGCATCACACAAGCAAAAACCCACGGAAACAAAAGGAGCCCCTGCCAGAAGCAAAACCTTACCCTACCCTACCCCACCCACTCTACCCTTCAAACCCCTAAACCCTAAACCCTTAGTGGAGTTGTGAAAAGGGGCTGAATTTCGCCTTCCCTTTGAGGGATTTCATCTCTTCTGCAGTTGGAAAAAGGCGTTCAAAAAAAACATAACTACTCTTTTCAACCCTACCCTGCCCTAACTACTCTGCCCTTAAACCAGCTAAACCCTAAATCCTAACTACTCTTTTCTACCCTTACAGAATGCTCTTAGGATGCCCGGTAGTACCCTTATTCCCTTTTTGTGGTCCTAGGTTCCTTATAAAGTTACCCAATACCAAAATAGAGGGCTTTTTATTCCTAGGTTACAGGGTATCCTAACTTTTCTACCCTTACAGAATGCTCTCGAAGAGAAGGAGCCCCTCCCAGAGCCCAAGTTCCGGGCTCCGCCGCCGGGTTGGGCAAAGCGAGGCCCTGTCGGCGTATTGTTTTGCTTGTAGGGTTCAGGCTTTGGGTTTAGGGTTTAGGGTTTAGGGTTTAGGGTTTGGTGTTTGCTAGTTTTTTTTTGCTGGTGTTTGCTGATTTGTGTTTTAGGCTTGCTTGTGTTTGTTGGTGTGCTAAACAAAACTTGGTTTGCTTGTTTTCGTCGCATGTTGCTTGCTTTGTGTGTTTTTGTTTGGTGTCGTTTAAAAGCTGCCCCCACCCTGTAATAGTGACTATATGGATTATATTAGGGCCCTATTATATTCCTATGATACCACTATTACAGAGTGGGGGCAGCTTCTAAGGTGTAGTTTTTGTCGGGCTTGCCCGACTCACTTGGAGGGTTTGCTGACACCTGCTTGGGACCTGCACCCAAAGCCTCAAACCCTAAACTGCCCTAAACCCCTAAACCCTGGACCCCAAAGCCCTAAACCCCACTAAACCCTAGACCCCAAAACCCTAAACCCTAGACCCTTAAAGCCTAAAGCCTAGACCCCTAAACCCTGAACCCTGGACCCTTAAAGCCTAAAGCCTAGACCCCTAAACCCTGAACCCTGGACCCTTAAAGCCTAAAGCCTAGACCCCTAAACCCTGAACCCTGGACCCTTACAGCCTAAAGCCTAGACCTTAGAAGCTGCCCCCACCCTGTAATAGTGGTATAGTAGGAATATAATAGGGCCCTAATATAATCCTATGTAATCCTTATGGTCACTATTACAGGGTGGGGGCAGCTTCTAACCTAGACCCCTAAACCCTAACACGAAACTGCTTGGGACCTGAAGCGTCCCGGCCCTTCAGGTCCAAGTCGGCCGGGGGGTTCAGGGGTTTAGTTTTTTTTTTTTTTTTTTCGGTTTAGGGTTCATGGGCTCTAGGGTTTAAGGTTTAGGGTTTTAGGGTTTAGGGGTTGGGGTTTTAGGGCTTAGGGTTTAGGGTTCAGGGGTTTAGGGTTTACTTGGAGGGTCGGGGGATTTAGTAACTGGTCATTTTAAGGACTTATAAGTACCATAACCCCGATTGGGGTCCCTTTTAGGGTGCTTATAAGTCTACTTACTACCTGCTTACTAAGCCCTCCAAGTAGGGTTAGGGCTTAGGGTTTTAGGGTTTAGGGTTTGGGGTATAGGGGCCTCAATAATTGGAACGATAGGGGAAGGGCTATTTAGGGATGTCGGTTTTAGGGTTTAGGGTTGAGGGTTTTATGGTTTAGGGTATAGGGGCCTTAATAAATAGAATCGAGTTCCGATGGGTTCCGTTAAAAGGGGTCTATAGGGGCAGGTCTATTACCAGGATTTGGGGGGCCTTCATAATTGGAATAGGGTTTCGGTGATATATTGTACTTTTTTTCGTAACAAGGAACCCCCAAAACCCTGCAGTGTTTGGTTGGGTTTCGCGAGGGCGAACATTGGTTATGTGGTTTCGTTTTGGCTTCAGAGGACCCCCAACACAGAACTCCCAAGAGCTTGAAAAGTCGGAACTCCCCTAGACCCTTTAAACCCCTCAACCCTACACCCTAAACCCTGTAGACAACACTGAAGAAGCGAGGTCCACCCGAGCGCACAGCCGTTGGCACCGAGATCTCGTTCCCTGCGCCGCAGGCGAAGGCCATTATGCTTCTTCCTTTGCAAAAACCGATACTAGTATCAGAAACGCCTTCGAAAGTGGTCGTATTCCCCCCAAAATCCTCCCGGTGCTACCTATTCGGGGCCCTATGACGAAACATGACCCGTGCTTTCGTGAAAGCTGGTCAGCTGGTTCAAAGCTCCCTTTGTGGTGCAGACGGTCTACTCTTGACTTTGCCATGGCCCGAGCGCAACTTGCCTTCCGCTTTACCTTCCTGGACGTGATGGATGGCCAGATGGATGCAGATCGTGCTCGCAGTCGGAGCCTCTCTCCGCGGTCGGCCACCCCAGAGGTTCTCGTGCAGGACGCGTGGGCAGAGCGTCATCTTCGCACTCTTCGTCAGGGGCAACATGCAACAGTTGTCGACGCAATGGCCCCAAGCCGGGGCAGTGTGGGACACCCGACCTTGTGCAACAAACCATGCATTTTTATTGCAAGGCAGCGGCACTGCCAGAAAGGTCTGGCGTGTAGCTCTTGCCACCATCAGCACAACGACCCGAAGCTCGACAAAAAGCAGCGCCTTCTGATGAACACGATGCCAAGGGCAGAGCTACTCGGCCTTCTCGCAGATCTACTTCAGCAGTGTGCCGAGCAACACGGGATCCGTGATGTGAGCTTCGCGGTGGCAGTCGCTCGGCGAAAGTCATCCGATTTCGTGTTGTTTGCAGTCATGAAAGGAGAACTGCTCCATGCAAAGCAATCTAAATCCCGGATCCCTGATCCCACACCCACATATCCCATAAATCCCAGCTTGGGCAACAGTATAGTCCACAATGCAAACGAGGTGCTTTCCGTCCAAGCAGGACTTCCTCCACGTCGTTTGCAGACGAAGTCTCGCAAGCTTCACAACTTGCGTCAGGTGCCGAACTTTACGTGGGCTTCCCTTACGTAATATCAAACCTGATGTTGTTTAATAAACAGGCTTAAACAATTCCAACACTATTTTTTGGATGGTCCTTACTATACTTATAGTACAATGGGCCCCCAAGCCATATTCCAATCATTAAGGCCCCTACATTATAGCACCCTTATAGATCCTTTTTTAGCCCCTTTAAAGGAACCCTATGAAACCCTATTCTAGTATTACGGCCCTTGTATTATTAGGGGGTTAGGGGTTAGGGTTTAGGAGTTTAGGGTTTAGGGTTTAGGGGTTGTGTCAAGCTTGAGCTAGTCGCAGCTTCAAGGTGTTCGTGCATGCTTGCAGGCTGACGGCAACCCTAAACCCCTAAACCCTAAGCCCTAAACCCCTAAACCCTACACCCCTAAACCCTGGAGGCTCAGGATTTCAGACTTGAAGCGCCAGGTACTTCAGCGCATGAACTTCTCCAGCATCCTATCGATGGCTGCGAACAAATGCGAAGGCCGCAGCAAGGGCGTGATGCTGCAGGAGTTGAGAGCTCTGCGACAGAGCTCCAAATAGTAAGTGACCTGTGACCTGGGAGTTTACGAAAATAGGGTACCCGAATATGGTACCCTAAATAGTAGGATCAGGATCCGTATTGTAATTATAAGGGCCCCGAAACAAGGTACCCCCAAATCTCAGAAACTCCCACCTATGAGTCTTTGAACTTTGTCGGCCACATTTCGGCCGCACAGCTGAGTTACCCCATGCTGTACCTTTCAGATTCTGCCATGGGTAGAGAGCCGTGAGTAGAACCGTGCAACTATATTATCTACAAAGATGTAGATATCGGCATAAGACGGGAACATCTGGCAGAGTCGGCAGACTGGTGCATTCGGCATTCCGGCTTCTCATGATTCTCATGATCTCCAAGTGAAAACATGAGGAGAGTGGGTCCTTTCGACAGATTCAGTTGTTTCGGGGAGGAAAACTAGATGGCCTGCCTGGAGGGTCATACCCACCGCTTCTTTTTACATACCTACTTTTATGCTTAGGATCTGACATATAGAACATGAGGTACCTTCAAAAAAGGGGCAGGGTATGAGGCTCTCGGTCTACTTCCTCATAACAAGGATCTTTTCCCTAAGCCCCAAAACCTAAACCCGTTATATGGGAGTTTCCGAAAGTAGGGGACCCTGATGTAGTACCCTAAATAGTAAGATCCTTATTATCTGTGACCTGGGAGTTTACGAAAATAGGGTACCCGAATATGGTACCCTAAATAGTAGGATCAGGATCCGTATTGTAATTATAAGGGCCCCGAAACAAGGTACCCCCAAATCTCAGAAACTCCCACCTATGAGTCTTTGAACTTTGTCGGCCACATTTCGGCCGCACAGCTGAGTTACCCCATGCTGTACCTTTCAGATTCTGCCATGGGTAGAGAGCCGTGAGTAGAACCGTGCAACTATATTATCTACAAAGATGTAGATATCGGCATAAGACGGGAACATCTGGCAGAGTCGGCAGACTGGTGCATTCGGCATTCCGGCTTCTCATGATTCTCATGATCTCCAAGTGAAAACATGAGGAGAGTGGGTCCTTTCGACAGATTCAGTTGTTTCGGGGAGGAAAACTAGATGGCCTGCCTGGAGGGTCATACCCACCGCTTCTTTTTACATACCTACTTTTATGCTTAGGATCTGACATATAGAACATGAGGTACCTTCAAAAAAGGGGCAGGGTATGAGGCTCTCGGTCTACTTCCTCATAACAAGGATCTTTTCCCTAAGCCCCAAAACCTAAACCCGTTATATGGGAGTTTCCGAAAGTAGGGGACCCTGATGTAGTACCCTAAATAGTAAGATCCTTATTATAAGGACCCTAGAACAAGGTACCCCCTATTTTCGGAAACTCCCATATGCTGTTGTTCTGAAACTCTACTCCGTGTCTTGCTGGAAGCTTTAGGCTTCCACGTCGCAGTCCTCGCACAGCTCTTTCGGACGAGATCTGGAAGTGGGAGTTTCCGAACATTAGGGGTACTTTACAGTGAGGATCCTACTATTTAGGGTATTATATCAGGGTCCCCCATTTTCGGAAACTCCCAAGTTTCCTGGAGCTAGGAATACCTTAAGCTTGTTCTGTTTTTTTTCTGAACCCGGCCTTCAATAACTGCCATTGTTAAGATGTAGAAAAAAGAGCTTGCGAAAGCGAGCCTATGATAGCTTAAAGTAGACCTTCAACCCCACCTAGAGGGGCATTGAGTATGTACGTCCGTGGAGCCATGTGTGGACCAGCCTGGGTTTCCACTCGTCTGCTAGACTGCTCTAGCAGTGTGCTGGACTCTCCCGCTAGTGGCTTTCAGCAAGCAGTGCGTTTCAAACACCCGGTTTGCGGCTCGCAGCGTAGCTGCAGTTGCTCTGTAATGACCCTCTTTAATGCAACGGAGCCGCAGTGCGGATTGCGTTTCACCATTCTACCGAGGACCAAAACTGTACACCGCTTCACAGTTTTGAATAGCATGCTTTTTCGGTAAGGGGTGCCTTTGCGACGGCCTTCCGGCTGCGAGGCTCCCCGACGAAAGAAGCTGTGCAAATCCAGGACATCGGGCGTTTTCGAGTGTCGCGGGCTCTGTAACTGGGAGTTTCCGAAAATTAGGGGTACTGTATTTTGGGGTCCGTATAGTAAGGATCCTACTATTTGAGGTTATTATTCTAGGGTCCCCTATTTTTCGGAAACTCCCAACCGTAGCCCTAAGCCCGAAACCCCAAACTGTGGCTTTCCCTTTCATGGATCTTGCCACTGAGTGCATGCTTGGGAGATCTTCCCTTCTTTCGGAGAGTCGAAAAGTTTGGAGGCTGAACTGCGATGCCAGAAAGCTTTGACGGCGGTTGCCTGGGGCACGGAGAACTCTGGGATGTCACAATCTCAGCGTTTCGGTCGTAGTTCCATGGTGCTTCTAGCTGTATAGCATACTGTGCCGCAAAAGCCTTTCCTAAAAAACTACTCAGAAACCCGATAACCCTAAACCCCAAACCTCGCCCTAAACCCTAAATTAACCATTCAAAAACCCGATAACCCGAAACCCTAGACCTAACCCTAGACCCTAAATTAACTACTCAGAAACCCGATAACCCTAAACCCAACCCTAAACCCTAAATTAACTACTCAGAAACCTGATAACCCTAAACCCTAAACCTAACCCTACCCCCTAAACCCTAATCCCAACAAACCGGTATAGCCCCACTCGAGCGCTCTTGGCGGTGGTAGGGTTGAGGCGAGTCAGGTAAGGCGCTGTTTTGTCAGATGGAAGATTCCGAAAATTAGAGTGTACCTTAGGGTTCCTTTAACGGGATCCTTTAAGGGTTCCTGTAAGGGTTCTATAACGGGTTTAGGGTTAGGGTTTCCGAAAATTAGGGGCACCTTATTTTGGGGTCCTTATAACAAGGATCCTACTATTGAGGGTGCTATGTAAGCGTCCCCTGTTTTGGGAAACTTCCAGATGGGCATTGGTTGCGATTTTGGGCTGCAGAGGGTTTACGGTTTAGGGTTTTAGGGTGTAGGGTATAGTGTTCACAGGTTTAGGGTTGAAGTGTCAGGGTTCAAGGCTTTAGAGTTTAGCATTCAGGGTTTAGGGTTCAAGGGTTTAGGGTTTAAGGTTGTGGGGTTTCAGGGTTTAGGGTTTAGAGGGTTTAGACAGTTTAGGTGTGATAGGGCTTTGAGCTTTCAGTTTCGGGTTTGCAGGGGTCAAGGGTTTCCAGCACTGGCAACAAGGCGGGTCAGGACGTTACATATACTAGGTTCCTGAGTAGTACCCTTATTCCCTTTTTGTAGTCCTAGGTTTCTTATAAAGTTACCCAATACCAAAAAGAGAGGCCCTTTTTATTTTTAGGTTACTGGGTATCCTAGAATAACTGCAACTAAATAGTAGGATCCTTACTATAAGGACCCCCAAAATAAGGTACCCCTAGTTTTCGGAAAGTCCCATATGTCTGCAAGTGCTACTGCGGCTGCGAAGTCCTACTCTTGCTCCTACGACAAATAAGAAAGTTATAGTGAGAGTAATGGTATTCGTAATAAAAAGAGTACTAATGAACACAATACTGGTATTACTCATAGCAGTTCTTAGCAATAACAACAATAAGACTCATAGTCACAAGAGTACTAGTAATCGTAACCATGATAGATAACAGTAGTAATGAATACTGAAGCTCCTGAACCGTTTAAGCCACTTGCCTACTTGGAGCTTCATGGTTAGTTATAAGTAGACTGATAAATAGTATAAGTAGGATAAGTATAGATATGACCCGTCTTCAAGGACATAATGTAAGGGGTTGCCGTTCTTGCAATAAAGGGCCGGGATAATCGGGTAAACTGTCTCCTAAAGGGGTCTTTAGTGTCGTTACAACAGCTACAACATGATGTCTGCTTTAACGGAAGGAAGATGTCATAATGGGAACTGAACGGAGGAGCCTCAACCCCTGAAGAAACTTCTGAAGCTTGAATCCTAGCCTCTAAAGTCTAAAGAGCCCATTTAGGGCGTAGGGTTCCTGAAATTGGTTAAACACTAGCTTCCTGAACTCCTCCCCGCCCTAAACCCGCAATCCTGACCTTTACCCTCGTAAAACTAAACCCTAAACCCTGAACCCTAAACCCTAAATCCTTATTGAAGCCTTGTGCGGCACCCTTGCGGAAGCCTCTTCCCGAAGCTGACCCAATCAGTCGGTAGCAGAGGGACCCCAAGCTCTAAACCCTAAATCCTAAACCCTGAACCTGATTCCTAAACCTAAACCCTAAACAACCTTGAACCCTAAACTTTCCTAAACCCTAAATCCTAAGCCCTAAACAACCCTAAACCCTGCATCCCTGACCCCTAAACCCTAAATCCCAAGCCCTAAACAGTCCCGAACCCTGAATCCTAACCCCTAACCCTACATCCTAAGCCCCAAAACAACCCTAAACCCTAAATCCTAAACCTTAAATCCTAAGCCCTAAACCCTGAATCCTTAACCCCAAAACCCTAAATCCTCAGCCTCAAACCCTAAACCGTAAATGGGTGGTTGTCAAAATTATGGTCCCTTTTTGGATCCTTAATCTAATACGGCACCTATTATTTAGGGTACCCACCAAGGGACCCTAATTTTGACAACCACCCAAATCCTAAACCCTAAAACCTGAACCCCAAACCCCTTCTTGGAACCCTAAACCCTGAACCCTGAACCTAAACCCCTTCTTTGAACCCCTAAACCCTGAACCCGAAACCCCAAGCAGACCGAAGGAGTCGGCGGCAGAGCCTCCCAAGCCTCCCAAGTTGGAGAAGGGGACCTCGAATCCGGAGGCCTCGGATTTTGAGGCTAAAAGGGGTTTCAGCCTATGGGGGCTAGGGTATAAGGGTATCACGAGGCCTCGGAATAGGAGCCTAAAAGGGTTCCTTGAAAGGGATCTATAAGGGTTCCTTTAAAGGGATCAAAAAGGGTTCCTTTAAAGGGATCTATAGGGTTCCTTTAAAGGGATCTATAAGGGTATCATAGGAGGCTAAAAGGGGTTGTAGCCTATGGGGTTTTAGTAGGGACTAGGGT